CAACACAAACAGCCGTCACTCTGGGGTCCCCAGTCGCTTCTCCGGATCCATCTCTGGGAACAAAGCCGCCCTCACCATCACGGGGGCCTAGCCCGAGGACGAGGCCGACTATTACTGTGCTCTGTACATGGGTAGTGGTAGTAACAATGACACAGTGATGTAACCTCAAGGGGAAGTGCTACCAAAACCTCCCCCTGATCTCAGCGGGCTTAGCACTGAGGGGCAGGAGAGGAAGAGAGATTGTGAAATGTCAGCATCACAGGGGGAGGGGGCACCGTGCCCCCATCTCCTGTACAGGGGTTCTAGGCCACCTGCTTCCTCCAGCCTCTCCCAGGCTGTGTCCATCCCTCCAAAGCAAGCCCCTCCCCCTGTTGTGATGATGGTCTGGGCACAGCTCCAAATCCTATCCCCCAGCAGTGAGACTCAGGAATCCAGCACCATCAAGATGACCTTCCCTGTTGACCTTGCTGATCTCTGGCTGGACAAATAACCTCCCTGCACTGCACCCTCAGGACGGGTCTCAGCACTGTTGGGCAGGGACCTTGGCTCCCAGCCCCCTTGACAGAAGCGGACTAGGCTCTGTTGCCTCTCGGGGATTGTTGGGGCCAAGGTTGCATAGTGGCCATGTTATTAGGTCATCCAGCCTGATCCAGGCAGGGTGTCGTTGTGTCAGCTGTCCAGTGCTCCACACAGGATTCTGGAAGTCCAGGGGGAGCTGGAGTTCCTCCCCATCCCTCAGGGTGAGACTGAACGAGGGAGACAACATGGGCTAGTCTGCACTCCTGTCCCCCAGCTGGGGACTGTGGGGCAAGTGAGGACTGAGCCCTGGCCCCACTTGGGTTAACAGGATTGAACCTGTGTTGGGGGCGTGGATGGACAGTGCGGTTCCCCTCACTCACTTATGCCCCTTAGGCCATGGACCCAGTGGGCCCAGCGCCCACCCACTGCAGCAAAGCAGCCCCCTGCAGCCCGGCTTCCCTCCCTGAGGTTAGCAGGCCCAGCAGGAGGCTGGTCCCCACGCCCTACGGATGCGAAGGAGCTGGTGACCACAGCTGTCCCAGGTCCCCGGGATGGAGTCAGCAGCACAGAGCAGTGGGGTCAGGGCCCAACATTGCTGGGTCAGTGGCAGTGAACATTCCCCTGACCTTCTGCTGAAGGACGATCCCTGATCAGTGAAGACTAAAGGGGACTCAGTTTCTCGATGTCACCTCCCCAAATTCCAGGATGCAGTAAAAATGTCTCTTGACATATCAACAACCGAGAAAATAAATGTCGATATGAAAACAGAAGCCATTGATGTCAATACTGAGATGACCCGATGATGACGTATTTTAGGGGAACAACATCAAACCCAAGATGAGCAGCTACAGACGCTGGGAACAAACAAAGCAGGAGGTGAACCGAGGTAGAAATAGAACCATGAGAATAAAGTGGATGGAAACACAGACCTGAAATACAGAGGAAAACAGAGGAAAATAAAAACGAAATCTCTCTATGGGGTTTCAAAGACATGTAATTTGCATAATTATTAAATTTGTACATTTGATTAGTAAGTGATGGATTTTGACTAGGAAGGAAAAAGGGCTGCCATCCCTTCTGCCTCATTTTCACCACCATGAACAGTCCCGTGAGCGTCACCAGGGGGCGCTGTGCATCCTCTCAGAACCCGCCAAGTTTGGACCCCCTCAGAGACTCCCAAGGCAGGGACCCTGCAACCGGGCTGACTGGCTGGAGCTGGAATTGGGAGCAGGTGCTTCCTATTAGGGAACAAATTCTGAGCCCTGAACTTCACAGGGCCTTGCTGTGCGTTTAGCTGCCACCTGGGTTGAGGACATAGCAGTGGATGGTATGTGAGCTCCTGTCCCCATCTGGTCCCAAATCCTTCCCCAGGAGCAGAGGACGAGGAGAGGGGACCCAGGCGATCAGTCCCACCCACTCCCGCTCCTCTCAGCCTCCATGGCTTCTCCTCTGTATTTTCATCGAGCTCCCCACCCCCACCTCCCCTCTGAATCATGACTCTCCTCCCAAACCCCGGGTTCCCCCTCTTCCTACAACCCTCCGCACTGTGCCCTCCCGGTCATTCCCAAGGTCGCTCACAGAAGCTGGTGAAGTGTTCACAGGAACTGGACACTCACTCCTTCTTTCTCCGCCTGGAACCTCTCAGATGCCTTCCTTCCTGAGAGGCCTCAGGTCTCTGGACACTCAGGTTTTACCCCCTCTCACCCCTCCATGCTCCCCTGGGTCCCCCCATTTTCCAGGGGATCCAGTGAGTCCTTCCAGCAGCGAATGGATACCCCCAGACACTCCCTGCTCATTTTCTCTGCCAATCAGTTGTGGAGTCTTATGGGAAGGGAACCTCAGCTTCCTGAGGACCTGGGAAGGGAGCTCCTCGCTGAACTGTCTCTGCCTTCAGCTCTTGAACCATTGATTTTATGTGCTCTGAGCACAGGAGACACTGGGGGCTCTTGTCTGGGACACAAGACACTTGTTCTTGGTCTCAGCTCAGGGATCCCTTCGCCCAGTACTGGGTCCTGTCAGAGACCCAGGGGAGCCTCAGGGCAGGCAAGCCTGGCCACCCTTGCAGACGTGACACTGGATACGAGGGATACACAGGCCCCAGGACGGGCTGGGTTGGGCCGAGGACAGGAGCTAATTTGCATGATGGGCTCTTGGTCTTGGGATGAGGGGATAAGAGAGCCAGGCAGCGGCGGTCCTAGCAGTGTTTGGGGGCGTCTGCACCATGGCCTGGACTCTGCTCTACCTCCTTCCCCTCCTCTTCCAGTGCACAGGTCCGGATGCCCTCAGCACCCTGACTCCCAGCTCTCCACCCTTCTGCTCCACTCACAGGGAATGACCCACCTTGTGCTTCCTCGGGACATAACAGGTGTCTGTGTTTCCAGACTCCCTCTCCCAGCCTGTGCTGATGCAGCCGCCCTCTGCATCTGCTTCCCTGGGAGCCTTGGCCATGATCACCTGCACCCCGAGAACTGGCTACATTTGTTATTACGTGGACTGGTACCAGCAGGACCCAGGGAATGGCCCACGGTTCGAGATGGGAGCAGGCACCAGTGGTGGTGTTGGATCCAAGGGGGATGGGGTCTCTGATCGCTTCTCAGGCTTAGGCTCTGGCCTGGAGCACTCTGTGAACATTCAGAACGTCCGGGAGGAGGATAAGTCTGACTACATTTGTGGGGCAGACCATGGCAGCTACGTGTAACCCACAGTGACACCGGCAGAGGAGAAGTCACACAAAAATCTCACTGACGGCCCGGCCCGCCACACCTGTCACCTGACCCACAGTTTAGTGGGTGCCTGCTGATCTCCTTTGAGAGTTTCCACCTTTCAAGGGATTTTCATAACTCAGCCCCTGTCAGTGAGGATGGTCTGAGCACAAGCTGTCTGGTCTTGGGCCACAGCGAATGTTTCCCTGGGTTGGAAAACAAAAGCCAATCTGGACTGAATTCCAGTGAAATACATCAAGTCCAAAATTTCAAAGCTGCAAAACAGCATCCCTGGTATCCTTTCCTTTGGCAGTCAGTACGACATTCAGCTCTCTGTCCACCGGGGAAAGTAACACACAGGTGAATCCACGTGACTGCGGTTGGATCCACTGCTTGAATTCACAGGAGTCTGAAACATGGAGCAAGGGTGTGTCCTAAAGAGTGTCCTGGGGATGCTGGTGCTGGGCTGTGTGCTAACGTCATGGGTGAGGGGATAGGAGGAGGGAGAGAGGAGTGAAGATTGAAGGACGGAAGTCATCCTGATGAGGGCTGATGGGGGATGAAGGTGTGGAAGGCCACTTAGTCTATCACCATTGATTTCGGTAACGTCTCCGATTGCCATGAATACAGACATGTAAACAAGAAAACCTCCACCCCTGTGTGTTGTGATGCGTGTCTGCCCCGGGTTAACCCATCACCAAAGTTGCCAAAATGTGTGTTTCCACCTTGATCTCAAGTTGAAGCCGATCGCCTCCCAGCAGACAGAGGGGGCTGGTGTGATGTTGGGAAGGGACAGGATCTCAGGTGTCACTGACAGAGGAGGGAGGGAGGGGCCCAGAGAGAGGGGAGGGTCTGCGGGTGGGTGTGGAGGAGGAGAAGGGCCAGATCTGGAGGTGCCTTGTAGGGCTAAGGGTTTGAGTTTTCATGCAAACAGCAGTGAGGAGTCATTGAAGGGTTTAAGGAAGAGTTGACTTGAGCTGATAGAGGATTTCCTTTATTGTCCTGAGGAGTAGCAGGTGGTTCTGGCCACAGGACATTTACTGAGATAACTGTGAGTTCAGATGATCATGGAGCATTTGCACAATCGAAGCTAATTTGGACATAGGATATGGTGAGGACGTGATGGTTTCTACATTCAACAGGCACACACAGCCTTTCCACTGAACGAAAACAGTCAGCAAGAGAACCCAGATGTGGACATTTTTATTATAACATTTTGATTATAACAGAGACAGTTTGTAGGATCTCTAAGACAGGGTTCTCACGAGAATTATTTGACAGCACTGTGAAAAAAACTCCATCTTAGGAGCACAATCCTCATACATAACTAATATATCAGAAGTCGATGTGATATAGTTGTACAATGGAATACTACTCAGCCATGTAAAGTACAAAATAATGCCATTTGCAGCAACTTGGATGGACCTGAAGATCATCATTCTAAGTGAAGCAAGGCAGAAAGAGAAAGATACCATATCACTCATGTGTGGAATCTAAAGAAAGAAAAAAGCAGACATTAATGAATTTAATTATAAAACAGAAAGGACTCAAAGATAGAGAAAACAAACATATGGTTTCCAGGGGGAAAGAAGGTAGGAAGTGAAAAATTGAGAACTTGAGATTTGCAAATACTGTCTATAAAATAAATAAACAAGTGTTTTGTGTAGAGCACAGGGAACTAGATTCAGCATCTTAAAGTAACCTATACTGAAAAAGAATATGAAAAGAAATATATGTATGTGTGTATGACTGAAACATTATGCTGTCCACCCAACACTGACACATTGTAAACTGAATATTCTTCAAAAAAAAAACAGAAAGAAATATATGACATGTGTACTACTAAGTGATATGCCTGCTGAACTATATCATTTCTATAAATCATGCTAAACTCCATCAAAATTCTGAAATCATTATATGAGTTTTGAAATGTCTGCTGAGTTTCCAGGTTTCAAAGATCTTTTTCCTTCTTCATGGAAAATCCAAATGTAAACTCTTTCCTTCAATAGTCCTACACGTCCTTCAAACCATCTGACTGTCCCCTTGTCACTGGTGCACACGTGGGTCAGTTAGCTTTTCTTGACTGTACTCTGGGAGGGGATTGTAACCTTTAATGGTTCCATATGCACAGCGTGGCAGCTTCCATGGACCAGGACTCCATTTGAAAATGAAAGCATTTTATAGGACGTGACTCAGCATAAAAGAACCATAGAATCTGGGAAGCAGAACATGGACAGCTGAATGGAGATGAGGTGAGCTGCCCAACCAGCTGGGCGCTCCTCTCTGGTCCTTGATGAAGTTGTGCCCCATGACCAGCAGAGGGCGCTGTGGGGCTGCCATGCGGTCCCTGCACAGCTGCTCAGGAAGGATCAGTCACTGGGCTGGGGCGGGGCCTGTGCTCCTGATAGGGACACAGCAGTGAGTCCTCTCTGGTTGGCAGAGTCCCCTGAGCAGGGACTCATGTGGTCTCAGCCGGTGTCTCCTCCCAGGATCTCTCAAGAGGGAGGCCACCCTCCATACCCCCTGAGTCTGGGCTGTGAGCTGAGTTCCAGGACCTGGGCTCAGGGAGGGGCTGGGCGGTCCC